ACGGTGGATCACCAGCTCCATTTGCGCAACAAGGTGCCGGCGTTGAAGGCTCTTCAGGCAGCGTCACAGGAGATGCAAAGACAACCCTCTGGTAAGTTTCTCTTCTATTTTGGCTCGATTTGGTCTCTTGTGATCTTATCACTGGCTTTATCACTCCTCTTCCCTCTTCTCCCTCTTCATCCCTTGTAGATTTTGATCATAGATCGAGCACATTTATGTCTTGCGCGCCGCATTGCTTGGTGCGCGACCGTAAATGTACTCGATCTAGAGGTTCACTTCATTTGCAAGAGTACACATCCTTTTGATCCGATCCACATCATGCTCATGATCATTACTGTATTGCTGTACTACTTTTGATCAACACCAAATTCATCACACAGTCGGTCTACGATTTGATCTCTACTAACACATTACAATAGGATGGGTGAGCTTGAGCCATGGATCGATGAGAACTTCATCCGCAGCGTCTGGTTCGGAATGGGCGAGCAAGTTAATGTCAAGATGATTCGCGACAAATTCTCTGGGTAAGTCATTCTTATCGATACCACACTGTCAACCAAGAAGTATTATCTAACTATGTTCCCATCAATTTAGAAACGCTGGTTATTGTTTCATCGACTTCACTTCCCCAGCTGCTGCTGCAAAGGCTTTATCCTTGAACGGATCCATGATTCCAAACACCACTCGACCATTCAAGCTCAACTGGGCCTCTGGTGGTGGTCTTGCCGATCGTCGGTCAGAATCCCGGTTCATATACCTCTTTTCCTCTGCTTCGCACTTCTTGAATGATTTGCTGACTATTTACAGTGATGACCGTGGACCAGAATTTTCTATCTTTGTTGGTGACCTTGGACCAGAAGTCAATGAATACGTCCTCGTCTCATTGTTTCAGGCCAGATTTCCCTCCTGCAAATCAGCCAAGATCATGACGGACCCCATTTCGGGAATGTCCCGTGGCTATGGCTTCGTTCGCTTCGCCGAAGAGGGCGATCAACAACGTGCTCTCACCGAGATGCAGGGCGTGTACTGTGGCAACAGACCCATGCGCATCAGCACAGCAACACCCAAGAATAAGTCTGGCGGTGCTGGACCAGCAGGTATGCAGATTCAAGGCGGCGGTGCTGGTGGTATGCCCGGTGCCATGGGAGGTGCCCCAGGCATGTACGGAATGGGTGGTGGCCCACCAATGGCTGGATACTATGGTACTCCTCAACCAATGAATCAATTTACCGATCCAAACAACACAACTGTGTTCGTTGGTGGTTTATCTGGCTACGTCACCGAGGATGAGCTCAGATCGTTCTTCCAGGGTTTTGGCGAGATCACCTACGTCAAGATTCCACCCGGAAAGGGCTGTGGATTTGTCCAATTCGTTCAACGACACGCTGCTGAGATGGCTATAAACCAAATGCAGGGGTATCCTATTGGCAACTCTCGCGTTCGTTTGTCTTGGGGACGTTCCCAAAACAACTCGGGACCAGCCGGAACCCCATACCGACCTGCTCCTCCACCTCCTCACTACCAGCAGATGGGTATGCCACAACAGCATAACCCTTACAATGGTTTCCAACCTTTACAGGTGAGATTTGTTCCTTCTTCAATACACTTTCAAGCTGACAATTCATAGTAAGCATACATCTTCTTTCGCGAATGGAGTTTAGTGTAGCATGGCGTCTTTCTGCACTGGGCTTGCCATTTTTCGGGGCTTTACTTCTTCGCGTCCAACGCCTGGATAACTCTTTCTCGTCTTAGCGTTACTTCAAGTATCGGATGGGTGGGACTCTGCGTTTTCCAATGATGCCCATGTATAAGCATAGACTTTTCATGCGACCACGATCTTCGCTTTCTCTTTTTTTCCTTCTACACATGTAATCTCACTGCTCTGCTGCTTGGTCTGCTCACTTATCTTTTTCTACTGGCGGATTTTTAATCGTCAACGAGATCTGTTTGGGCAGCTTTGCACTCATGCTCTGAAGCAGCTTTTTCCTATTCTGGACTTTATCCACAAAAGCTCAAAAGTTTAGACTCTCTTTTTTTAAATAGGAGTATCGCGGCTTGTGCGGACTCGATTACAAATGTATTCTTCATCCATTATTTGATTTTGCAGACCATTTGTTTCCTTTTTGGTCACATATACTTGTTGTTATGTATTATCCTATGTTTTGTGCTATTGCCTGTGCGATGATAAAAAATGTCCCTACAAACTTTAACTTCAAATTACTGGACTTGTAGCATTTATCCTTAGCTTGAGGCACTGCTTATTTCATCATCTGAAGTATCGGATAAATACTTGTTTCTTACTATTTCCAAGCTGCTTTTCTTCTTTTCAACGTCCATACTTGACATGACATCTTGCTAACGTGTTCAAATTAGACCAGGTCAACAGAGTCACCAACAACCAGCCGCCGCTTACAACGCTGGATACCAACATCAGCAACAACCATCCGGTGGTCCAATTGCCAATGGTGGCTTTAACAACCAAGCACCTTATGCCTAATTCAAGTAACTATAGTCGCGCGTAGTCTCTCAAATTGGTCGTCTTTTGCGGATACCCTTCGGCACACTTCTTCGATTTGGGTTCTTCGATCTTTCATTGGTTTTTCTTACACTACTGCAAGATACCCTGCTGCATCTAGGATACTTTAATGACGCTTGCTCTCAATTTTCATGGGATTGACAACAATAATGGTGGATGACTCGGCTTTTATGGTTATGGTTTATGGTTATGGTTTCTTTTGAATTTTACACAATATTTCCTTTGGTTCAATACTTTCGACATTTCACGACTCTGAAACGTCTCACAATTCGATGAAAAAAATTCCAGCGAGCTTTACTTGCAAATTACATTACCTCGATACATACCTTGGCGAAAATGGAAAGGCGTCATGGTTTGGTGCATTATAGTACATCGATCATGATACCACTCTTGCGTGCATGGATGGGGGCCTGGACGGCATTGCTTTTAGGTGTGCGGCGTGATATTCATCTAATTTACTACGTGGTCTTTCTCTGTTTTCGAATCTCTTTCTTTCCAGTACATAGCCGCGACGGAGGATCTTTTACGTCTCTACTCTTCTTTGATGGAATTTACACTAGTATACTGGTGGCATTTCGGGCTTTGGGGAAAAGTTGATGGATGGATTGACGAATCATATTGTTGCGTGGGTTTTCGTCGGAGGGCATGACATTTATTCTACCTCGTGGTTTGATATCTTCTCGGGAATGACATGGTGCAGCGTAGCATCGTATAAATATAGTTGCAGTGGTTCATCAGCGAGCAAGCTTTTAGGCATTGGTTGAAGGAATTTACGGGCTGATTTGAGGTGTGGAACGTGTGTCGTCTCTCAGTCAGGAATTAAGAAGGATTCATTCATTGTCTTTTGTCAAGATCTGTATGGTTTTGATTATGGTGATTTGTGAATGTGAATGTGAATGTGAATGTGAGAAGACTTGGCTTGAAACGCTGTGCTATCCATCATATCTAGAATTATGCTTTTTTACCAAGAGAAATGTTTACTGTGAGGTCAAGCGGGTGGACATGGTCATTTCCTCATGCTAAGACCTACCTCTTCTTTCTACCTTTTGATATATGGAATTTTAGTTCAATTCCAAGTCCAAGTCCAATCCCAATTCCAATTTCAATTCTAACACATCTCAATCCTAACCCTATTCTCATGCAAAGCTCCCTCGAATCAAAAGTAAGCTTTGGATATCTCTCGAGTCTCCATTCTTGATGATTCGCAGCTGCTCGTTGAGAGTAGATTTTGGAGGAATAAGGAGGGGGAGTGGGAGGGGGAAATAGAGGGGAAATGATATTTCGATATGCGAATATGTTAATATGTTAATAAGTGAGTGTGGAGAAGTGGAAGGAGGTATGTGGTATGTATGAAGTGTGTAGTGGAAAGGGTGTGAGTGGAAAGGGTGTGAGTGGAAAGGGTGTGAGTGGAAAGGGTGTGAGTGGAAAGGGTGTGAGTGGAAAGGGTGTGAGTGGAAAGGGTGTGAGTGGAAAGGGTGTGAGTGGAAGGTTGTGGGATTTGTTTGTTTCTTTGGTTTCTGGATGGTGGGGAGATGGAAGATATGAAGGGATGGGATGGGATTGTACAAGCTTTGTTTGAGGAAGGGGAGTGGGAGTTTGAGGGGGGGTTTCCGGGGGGGGAAGTTCTGAAATGAAGATGTGAATGAAGATGTGGATGTGGATGGATTTTTATCGAGTGAGGTAAGTAATGAATGGCATTGGGGAGGGCAGGAAAGGGATTATAAAGATGAGCAAGAGAATTGCGGTTGCTGGAGGAATGGAATAGATCACCACGAGCTGGGGTTTAGAAATTAGAATGGCAGTGTGGAGGTATAGCAGGGTGGAGGTATGGGATATAATATATGATATATGATATAAGTAAACTAAGAGAGTAAGGTATCATGAGAGAGAGGTAAATAGTTTACGCAAATGGGAATGGGAATGGGAATGTGTAAGTATGGATTGTTACACATCTGTATTGATGATAGGGAGGGGAGGGTTGTGTATTTTGTATTGTATATATAATTTATACGCATAGATGGATGCGTTAACAATGGAAGTCAATGATAATCAGGACGTGGGACGAAAGAGAACGAGAAAGATATGCGATATTTGAGGAGTACGCAGCTATTTCGGAGTGCGAATCCAGACAGTAGATAGGAGATCCTGAAAATCGGTAGAACTGTAGAGGTATGAGTGGGATGTATATAGAAAGTATCATGGTTTATCAAGCGAGCAGCTTGAAGAGAAGGAGGAGCTAGGAAACCGCCATCGATTTAATCAAGGTTTGCAGATGGACGACGGATACGATTATAATATCACTAGCAAGATATCTCAGAGAATAGAAAGGTGGTCATGGTATGGCTCATTTGCTCAATTAACGAGCATAAGAATTTTGATTAGTCCCTAGAATAAAAGACTTGATACATATACGATTGATTACTCAATGGATTATGTAGCACTGTCCAAAAGAATAAAAAGATCATCACTTCCTAACCTTCCTAGCATGCTTGACCAGATTTTCGATAACCCCTTCAAAGGCCTCTCTGTCACCTAATTTTTCATCCGTCCTCATTGTCCAATAGTCTAATACTTCTTTAGCTAAAATTTCCATTTCCTCGAGCTTTTTCACGTGTCCTTTCAACTCATCCATTGTTAAACCTTGTAGAGCCTCTTCGGTAATCTCACATGTTTGACGTGCAGATACTAAGTCTAATTGAGGAGCAGGTGGAGGACCCTTTCGACGTCGACTATCCGAGCGGGGAGGCTTGACATTGCCTTGTGAGTCAAGAGAAGTAGAAGAAGAGGATTTGATACGATCTATGGAACTGTCGAGAGAGCCAGACGATGATGGATGCAAAGATAAAGAGGGGAGGATGAGTTTCTTTTGTGTGGAAGCTGGGAGGATTTCATCCAGAGATACGGGAATACCGAGACTGACGAGGAAGAGACGACGAATACGGGATCGAATCCAATTTGGTGGCTGAAGGGGCGGTGGAGCTACGAGTTGTGACCAGAGTGATGCGGATCGTGGTGTGAGGAATATGGGATTCGGATTTTCAAGAGGTGGTAGGACTGATATATCAATTGTGTCGGAGGGAAATATATGGTCGAGGTAAGGCTCTGTTGCCGAGCGAATTTCCTCGGGGGCATTGAGATCTGTCAGGTCAAAGGTGGGCTGAACAAAATACTTATGTTAGGGTTGAGTGTACTATTGTTGCATACGGAAAGTAGACGACTACTTACAAAAGAAGGAACTACAGGAATTGGTAGAGAAGATTGAGTTACTTCAGGCTCTTGAAATCCATCATCAAAATCACCAAACTCTGCATCTTCCTCTCCTTCCTCAAAATCATCGAAATCATCCCCAAAACCGCCATCGTCTGCATCGTCTCCACCATCTCCACCATGACCATCATCTCCGTCTTCTTCGTTATATTCTTCTTCTACGGCTTTGTTCGCTGCCGCCGAAGAGCTTTGACGTCGGAGACTTAAGGACGGGGAGCTAGATTCTAACTCAGTCAATAACTCTGAAGGTGTTTGGAATCATTGTTAATACATACCAGGTACATCAGCGACCTCGACTATGTCGTCTGGTTGAGCGTCTTCCTTTCGCAATTCATATGCGGCGGTACCGGGAATTTCGCCATGACTTGGCTCAGAGTCTATCCTCTCAACTACAGTCTTGGGAATTGGTAAGTCCCCTGGTGTACTACCAGCTCTTGATCTCGTTATACCAGTCGTGTTAAGAGTGTTGGAGCGACTGCGACCAGGAGTTGAGTCCAAGACCAAGTCCGGGACTGCGTCAGCTTTACGCTTTTCATACGCTGGTGTACCCGGGACTTCTCCATGACTAGGAGTATCGGGGTCTATCTTCTCAACGACAGTGATGGGAATGGGTAAGTCACCCGGAGTTGAAGGTCGTCGAGCTCGTGCGATATTGTCAAATTCTGGAGCCATTGCAACTTGATCAGGTTCAGCATCCTCTGCTCTCATGTTATATGCTTTTGTGCCCGGAACTTCTCCATAACTTGGTTCATCGTCGACTTTCTCAATTCGAGTAGTGGGGACAGTGGGTGAGGCTGCGGTAGATGGTTCTAGACCAGAGTGTGCATCTGAAAAATGGTCTTCTGAATCCGAAGATTCAACAGTTTCTAAGTAAAAAGAATGTTAGAACAAATCAATTCATGTAAAGTTCCAAGGGCATGTTCTGCATCAAGACCATTCTATCCCCATCGTCGCAAAAACAACAGAGAGTGTTGAAACTTAGTTTCGTCGGCCTTACCTGCAAGTTCGTGTGCGCCTGGGTCCTCAATGCTAGTCCTTGTAGGAGGTTCTAGACTTCCGTGGTCTTCCTCAGCCATGATTGATGATACCAGCGAGATACCAGCGATAACCTCGATAGAAAATCTCAATCAATAGACAAAACGGTCTGGAGGTACGATTAACGTGTTGGCAATGTATACTGAGTAGTGAACGAGAGAAAGTCTAATCCAAAGGGGGAACAATGACAACTGCTCCCTTCTCGGTCAATGATAGCAAGAGCTCCGATCATTCTGTTGTTTCACTCGCTTAATTTTTGATTGAGGCGCGATACAGTACCAAAAGTCGCGCAGGGAAAGGCTAAGAAAGACAAAAGACTTCAATTTCACGCGCTTTGAAATGCGCAAGGCTGATTAAATCAATTCGGTAATTGCAGAAGCTGTACCTCAATTCAATTTAACATTGAAGAATATTGTATTGCTGATCATCTTGATTTCTTTACAAATAATCAGCTTCTGATCTGGTATAAACAATCAACAACACCGCAAAATCTTCCTTCCTCGGTTTCGATTCGCATCCCTATTTTGAAAGCTCAACAATAATATCTACAAGATGTCTGGATTTACATTCGGCAACACTGGAAGCACGGGCGGGGGATTGTTTGGTGGGGGAAGTTCTAGCAACCCCCCTAACAGCTCTGGAGCTGGACTATTTGGAGGTGCGCCAGCTACATCTGGGGCCGCACCATCATCTATATTCGGCGCACCAAAGCCAGCTGGAGCACAAGCACCGGCCTTTGGAGGAGCAGGAGCATCAAATGCAGGAGCTGCAAAGCCAGCCGCTGGAGGTATCTTTGGCCAAAGCACAGGAAATGCCCCAAATGCCACGTCTTCTTTCAGTTTTGGAAAGCCTGCTGCTAGCACCACACCTACAACTTCAGCAGGAGGTGGACTTTTTGGTGGAGGAGGAGGCGCAACTGCAGGTGGAAGTGGAGGCTTTAGTTTCGGAGGGCCCAAGCCAGATGGTGCTTCAACGCCAACAACGGAGAATAAACCCGCAACTCCTACGGGGGGTATGTTTTCAGGAATGAACAAGCCAGCAGCAGGAGGTGGCATGTTTGGAGGAGCAGCTTCGAGTACCCCAAGTTTAGGATCAACAACACCAGCACCAAGCAAGCCTTTCAGTTTTGCATCCACAACCCCTGCAGGACCACCACCTACAAATAATGCACCAGCTGCGAGTACAGGTAACTTGTTTGGCGGAGGTGCTCAATCACAATCAGCTGGAAGTCTGTTCGGAACACCAAAACCAGCAGCCACATCACAACCTACACAGACACCCGCTGCACCAGCCCCTACTGGTGGTCTTTTTTCCAGTGGCACTCCAGCAGCTGCAGCTCCTACTAGCAACTTGTTCGGTGGTGCTGGTGCTACAAAGCCTGCTGCGCCTAGCGGCAACATGTTTGGTGGAAATAAGCCTGCTGCTTCGGCAGCTCCCCCTGCCAGCTCGACACCTGCGGCGACTACAGAAGCTGCTAAGCCAGCCCCATCTTTCAGCTTTCCTTCTGCTACTCCAGCAGCTAGCACCCCTGGAACACAGGCTTCTACTACTCCCGCTCCCGCAGCTCCTGCTACCAGCAGTCTATTTGGAAAACCTAATCCAGCTACATCTACACCCGCGCCATCTGCATCTGCCCCAGCGCAAAAACCATCACTTTTTGGAAACGCTGCTTCGACTAGTGCCGCAACCACTTCCACTCCTGCGCCAGCTGCTACAACATCAAGTTTGTTTGGCGCAGCTAAATCATCAACTCCCGGTACTTCTGGCCCAACCAACACCAGCACTCCTGCTCCTGCTTCATCGACCGCAAATGCTGGCTCTGCAAATCTAGATCAACGAGCCGGAGCAGCAGGAAATGCAGCATCTCTAGGAGCTTCTACCGCTGGCCCAAGACCAGAATTATCTCGTCTTAAGAACAAAACTATGGATGAAATCATCACCCGATGGGCATCTGATTTAGCGAAATACCAGAAGGAATTCCAAGAACAAGCAACCAAGGTAGCTCAGTGGGATCGTCTTTTGGTCGAGAATGGAGATAAGATTCAAAAATTATACAATACTACCTTTGAGGCTGAACGATCAAGCGCAGAAGTCGAACGACAACTAGCAACGGTGGAGGGCCAGCAAGCCGAACTCGAACAGTGGCTCGATCGTTACGAACAGGAGGTTGATGACATGTTCAAAAATACAGCTGTCGAAACACTACAAGGACCAGATCAGGAGCGTGAGAGAACCTATAAGATGGCGGAGAAATTGGCGGACAAACTTGATGAAATGGGCAAAGATCTTTCTACTATGATTGAAGCTATGAATGAGGCATCTGCTACTTTGAACAAGAGCACCAAGTCTGATGATCCAGTAAGTCACTCCGATCTATATATCAGATTTATAAAGAATTTCACTAATCAAATGTGCCTATAGCTTTCCCATATCGTCCGAGTCCTTAATTCACATCTTATGCAATTACAATGGATTGATCAGAATGCCAAAACACTACAAGAGAAAGTTGAGGCGGCGCACAAATTGGGACAAAGTATGAGTGCAAATGGTCTTGGTGGAGCGGAAGGTGATGCTGCAGATCACTTCTATAGATCTTTTATGGGCAGAAGATGAAGGGCCGAGAACGAAAGATAGAGCTTGATAAAGCAGGTAAAATGGAGGCAGACAAGTTTGTACTGGCGTGCTGAATGGATGTTTGGGCGTTTTGATTTGGCAGGAAATACATTTGCAAATTCATGCATGGATGGTCTATTTTGAGGGAGCATATGTGGATAATGAACTTGGAAGACTGAATACCGCAAGCCTTCAATAAATGATTGGGGAGAGAAGAGAGATACAAAAGGATTCATATATCCAAAGTAGGCGAATGCGTGGATGTACGAACCGGGGTAGAAGTGTTCTAATGAGCATTTTTGTGTATAATAGATAGCATGAAGCAAGAAAGAATAGAGACTGATCAAGCTCATAACCAATTTTGTTCCATTGAAATGGGATCAACTCGGCTTGACACACATGGGAATTCTGCAACCACGTGTACAGGCAATGATCGTATCATACAATCAATAATTTCACCGACTATAAACGACCATGATTTCATCACGATCCTGATATCATATTTCATTTTGTTCAGTCTTGCTCGACTTAAACGACCCCCTTTCCGCCTTCCCCCCGGCCATCCACACACGAAGTTTTTTTTATTTGTGCAAATTTTCAGGTTGATTTAGCTGGTAATGAACCAAAGCATTTAGTATTTTCTTCTTTCTTAAATTCTGCAAAGCGAGAAAAAGATAAGAGAAACAGGGGGATGAGAATTAAAAGACTTGATTGCATTTAGAGAAGAGAGGAGTCCATCGATGGAAAACAGTACTTCTCAAATTCTGACTATGGATATATGGATATATGGACGAAAGCTCGAAGTTTTTTCTAAAAGTATGTGTATACTTACTTCTGCTCGCCACCAGATTGCTTCTCGATTTCGGTACTGGGGGGAGAGGGGAGGTTAGCTGAGCGGATTGAGTATGGGACGGAGAGGGAGTAGAGGATTGGTAATGATGTCAGAAAGGCATTCTTACATGTGGTCCTCAAGTTTCTTCAAGTGATCACGTTGTTCGGTAATTTTCTTTCTCAACTCCAAGAGTTTCTCATTCTCGCGCTGGCGGATGGTGAAATCCTCATTGGCCTTTTCGCGTTTGGTAAAGGCATCTCTGGGAAAAGGTTGTTAGTTCTGTAGCTGAAGATGCGGATGAGAGCTTACCCTTTCCTTTGCGGAACTCAATATCGCGAGGATAGTCAAGTAGTAGCATTGGAAGGGATGGAAAACTTACTGTTGGCCGCCAATCTGGCAGCGCCGGTGTCTCCCTCGCCCATGGTGCGTACTGATACAGTGAATGCTCTAGCAGCTGGGATGGATGTGCGGACTGCTGGTCGCATGGCAGAGTTGATTGCAAGACGATACATGATGATGATTATGTTTGAGGTTTTTTTTCTCGTGGTGGTATTTCGAAGGTAGAAGGATGACGGATGTATTTGAGGGGTTGTTCAATTGGTGGTATGATTGTTTATGAAATGATTTGCTGGATAATACCGAAAGTAGCTTGCGGGCTGGAAGCTTGGATAGAAAACTCTTGGATGTGAAAAGACCGTAATTGTGCCTTGAAATCGAGGTTGTGAGGGGAAAGATCATGCCATCGTCATGATCAGCTGTTTTGAATGAGAAATCATGGCTGCTTTAAAGACATGCGGGGACGAATGTGCGCAGAACGAGTGTTCAATCACTCAAAAATAAACAGAGCATAACTAAAGTGGCATGAACATGTCTGCTCGTTGCTAGGTAATCAAAACTCTCCAGCTATTTCGTATATCAATTTCATATGACAGACTACCTACTCTTGTTAGAAACGACAAAGTTTAAACTTGAAGGACTCCGATGCTGCCCTCGACTTGCTTTGCTCGATTGTTGAATTACTGCTGTGATATTACCTACCCATCTAACTACAGTGGACTTGTGTTCTGAACCACTCCGTACTCTATAAATAATACTACTCTGCCCCACTGCCTACCCAGGTAGCATTCCTAGAAATTCATAACTCTCATACTTCGTACCTATCTGGAAGTAGGATTTAGGTAGCTGTATCTGACTCTGACAGAAATCAACCGGGTTGTGGGTATCGATTGAAGAGTAGAACATACTCGGTGTCGAAGACAACATCTACTCAAGCCTCCTTGACTATGTAGTACTCCATTGATGATGTACCGATATTGAAACAGCTATAAGGTTGTGCTCTTGTGCTTGTGCCTGTGCTTGTGAACGGTCTAACACCAAACACAACGCAGCGGTAATACTAATAATAAATGCCATTCCAGATTCCAGAAACCAAGGCAGAACAGAACGTCTATGCTTTTAGACCTCATTTATTAGCACTGCCACAGTCACAGAAAGTCAGTTCACATTACTTGGAAAGGAAGGAAGGAAAGGAAGGAAAGGAAGGAAAGGAAAGAAAGGAAGGAAAGGAAAGGAGATGGAAAGGGTTAAGGGATGGAAACAGAACAGAAACAGAAACGCGCCAACACCTCAAGAAAATGACCAAAAAGCCTTCCATCTTCGGACAAATTTAAAATTCGTGACAATGCAAATCTGGGTCAAGGTCAAATCATGTTACATTCATGCGACGGATAACCACTTTTAACGACCTGAATTTACCATTAACCAAGATTGGTCCAATCGAGCCACATGAACCAGGCATTTACAGAGCATTCATCAGCCCTGTTGAACTGCATGGAAATCATCTCGAGCCGAATCTCTCTGACTCTTATATACTTGGGCTGGGTTGGGTTGCCTCGTTGGCTAACTAACAGTGGAGATGTGAAAGTGTATACATATCAAGACATCTCATACATATGGTAGGTAGTATTGGCACTCGTGTCTCATGTCTCTCTCTCCCTCCCTCTCTGCCTCTTAGATCTTGCTTTTAGAAGACGATTATAGGGACAATAAAAAGGGGGATCTCGAGATGTACTATGTATGAAGATTGTTCAACGCTCAGTCTTCTTATATTGGAAAAAGAGTTGTCTAATTCAATTCAACTCAAGTGTCTAGATACCCCGAAACCCACATAATATAACGCATGAACAACAGTCAAAAGAAAAGAATCTCAACCATTTTGCCCATACACACAACACAGTAGATGAGATGAATTCACTTGAGAAGGTGATTTCTGATATAATTCGTTCCAATTAACTCCTTCCCCTCTCTCCCCCTCCAAAAGGAATTCATAAATTGAATTTATATCATTTAAGCCCTTTTACAGAAGAATACATAAAACGCTGAGCCCCTTTTACGATCTCGAGGTTATCCGTTCACATTCATTCATTCATTCCCTTTACCTCGCAGATCGCTTCCCATCTTCTAAAAGTGGCACTAGTGCGTCCTTCCAGCAACTTCCTCACGGCCTACGGTACCTACCACTTTCTCCAATCGAGAAAACCATCCCAAGAATTAAAACCAACACACAAACACATTTCCCACGTCGCATAACATCCTACGTTTCTCTTCCTATTTCAGTTTGTGAGATCTCTTTCCTAAAGACTTAAAATAATATCATAAAAAGATACTCAGGTAAGATCTTCATTTCCCCTCAAAGCCTTTGGATACCGTCGCCTGTTTTCTCCCTCCGCCCTGCCCAATATCTCCATCGTCCAACGCCATCAACAAACAATCACTATGTGCTACATCATATTGTCCTTGTTTACTCGAATCGAGGGATCGACTTTTCCATTCATTTGCAAACACCAATCATTCAACGACTCTTCGCCCTTCACCATTGCCCCTCCGGAAGACTGAGGGGTACTTGTTGTTTTTGCCATCAGCAAATCAACTCCTGAGTTTATCATACGTAGTAAAACTGCATCGATTGGCGTGTTCTCCATCGCAGATGGAGATTTGGCGCATGCAGAAGTGGTCGGGCCAAATATCGGTGACAGCCCAGTCACGTCAAACACTAGCACAGTCGCAATTGTCTATTGGATTTCGGCCATTTAAACAACAAGAAACACGACCTTTAGTTTTGAGCAAACGATCACTAACAAATCTATTATAACAGATCTACAAATCGCAGTCATGGGTTACGAAGATTCCGTCTATCTCGCCAAGCTCGCCGAGCAGGCTGAGCGATATGAAGGTATGCAGATTTACAGTCTTTGATCGAAGCGTATGAATACTAACAGTGGGAACAGAGATGGTCGAGAACATGAAGTCCGTCGCCTCTGAAGACCAAGAACTCTCCGTCGAGGAGCGTAATCTTCTGTCTGTTGCATACAAAAATGTCATTGGTGCTCGTCGTGCATCATGGAGAATCGTCACTTCCATTGAGCAAAAGGAGGAATCAAAAGGCAACTCATCCCAAGTTACTCTCATCAAGGAGTACCGTCAAAAGATTGAAGCAGAACTTGCCAAGATCTGCGAAGATATCCTCGAGGTTTTGGACAAACACTTGATTCCTTCTGCCAAGAGCGGTGAATCCAAGGTCTTCTACCACAAGATGTATGTAATTGTCTTTTGTGCAATAAAATCCCATCCAAAATCTCTTACTAATGATGTTACAGGAAGGGTGATTACCACCGTTATCTCGCTGAGTTCGCCATTGGCGACAAGCGAAAGGAGTCTGCCGACAAGTCTCTTGAGGCTTACAAGAATGCAACCGAAGTTGCTCAAACTGACCTTGCACCAACTCACCCAATCCGTCTTGGTCTTGCCCTTAACTTCTCCGTTTTCTACTACGAGATCTTGAACTCCCCAGATCAAGCTTGCCATCTTGCCAAGCAAGCCTTCGATGATGCCATTGCTGGTAAGTCTCATTGGATCAACAACACGAACAAGTAATCTAACTGTGATTTAGAACTCGATACCCTTAGCGAGGAGAGCTACAAGGACTCCACATTGATCATGCAACTTTTGAGAGATAACTTGGTACGTAAAAATATTCTCACGGCGCATCTTGACCTCAAGTTCTATTACTAACAAAATAAACCTATTTAGACCCTCTGGACTTCATCAGAGGCCGAGCCAGCTCAAGAGTCCGCTGCCGCACCTGCTGAGGCCAAGGAAGCCGAGGCCGCTGCACCAGCTGAGGAGAAGCCAGCTGCTGAATAGAGAATCATCGGATATGGCGTTGATGTTTGGTCGAATGGGCGTACGAGCGATGGAGGTAACGACTGGGTTTTGCATGTTTCGGCAGACGAGATGAGCAGAGGGCGAGCTTCATAAAGAGCTTTTGGGGGGTCTCTCTCGCAACTTGCTTGCCTTTAGACTCTTTAATGCATCAAACCATACTGTACTTTCCCTTCCACACATCCTTTCGCTGCTTTGCGAATGTCTCTCGATCGCCCAGCATCTCTTTTCCTTTTTCATTTTTTTTATTGAAGACCACTTCCACATGTCATTTCCCGGTTGTTGATAGGTTACGGCCTGGCACTTTTTTATCAAATCGATTAGACTAAAAAAAAGTAGCAAATCCATAAAACTAGTACAAAAAGTCGATGATTTGATAAAGCAATGTGAGACAAAGTGCATGTGAGTTCGCATGCATGCCAAACTGAATTTCAAAAAACTCACCGTTGATGTTGATTTGGTGGCCATGCTTGGAAATTCTTGTTTACTAGTGATAGGGCTGGAGATTTATACATGGCTTGAAAGTGAGTATGCGGTTCGCATGTATTTCGGGCGGCGAGTGATATTTTTTGAGCTTGCTTGACTGATGGGCTGGTGGCGTGTAATAGTGAAATGATATTGAGATTGGAGTTGCGGTCGGAATCGGAATTGAATGGAAGAGCGTGTTCTGCGGGGTGTAGATGGCCTGTGTACATTGATGGCAGTGCGTGGGATTCGGGAAAGGGAAAGATACGTTTGCTATTTTTTGACTTGGTAGTGTGTTGTGATGGTGGAATGTATAGTGATTCCTTTGGGAGGGGGAGGGGAGGGGAATACTTTGGTTGGGGTTGTGGGGGTATGGGGGTGGAAGGGGATGATTTGGGAAGATGGGAAGATGGAAGGTGAAGATGGAAGGGGAGGATGGAAGGGGAAGATGGAAGGGGAAGATGGGAAGAGGGAGGTTTGGTGGATAGAGTGGAAGCTTGAGCGGGAGGTTGAGTGCTGCTTACTGGGTACCTGTGAGTTGGTGGTACAGTGGGAGCATGGGAAGATAGGATGAGGGGTGAACGGGTCTGTAATACTTGGAATGGGAGGATGGTGGGTGGTTTGAACTTTCAAGGTGAAATGGGGAGGAGGGGGAGATAAGATTTCTGGGTAGGGTGGAGAGGAAATGTCGTTGGGGGAAGCTGAAGATAAGGGGTGTAGGTGGGTAAATGGAGGATAACCTGCTGGCGGAATTTCAGTGTTTGGAGGGAAATTGCTGAACATTGTGGGATGTAGCTTCATCCGCTGTTGAGCTCTAGAATAAACATGGATGCGATGTGAATGTGAATGTATATGACGAGATGAAAACATACGAAGAGTGGTTTGAGAAAAAGTAAGATATTGAGTCTGAGATGATGTTCTATCTAACGCCAGGCGTCGATGGCCATTATGGAAGATTCACATGTCCTTAGAGGTTTCTATTGGGTGGTATCGTGAAATCAGGGTAGGGCTGATATTGATCATGGGATATTCGATTTCATGGACCTAGAATGCGTTGAAGGGCGTCTGGTTGGCCAAATGAACGATGTCCTAAGCTGTAGTCGAGAATCTTGCACTCGGATCAGGAATTCGATAGGCACCCTAGATGTATTTCCTCTTAGCCGAAATAAAACAAACAGACATTTGCCGGATGAATGTAATAAATACTTGATGTCTCGTTGGCTGCTTGTAACCATCTCTAAGAAGTTTATTCGACCATCCTGCCCTGTACAGCCAATCCGACTCTTTAGCCCTTTCCAGAACCCTGGGGCACGCGCGGAATCTTACTTGCATGCATCAATACCTTGGATGTCCGTGGTGCAGAGAATCTCTTCCGGTTGGCTTGGGGCATGGATCCTGTACGAAATTTCTTGGGGAGTGTGGGATGACGAGAGTCAGTGGAGTGGGAAGGAGGGTATATGATGGCGTAGTAATACTTCGAGGAGAGTCTGATGATTGGAGGTGGAACATGGTTCACTGCATTGGGGGGCTCGCTTAGAGGATTGAAATGCATAGATTTATTAGATTCATAACTATTTGTCTCTTGGTGAAGCGGACTTGAAGATCGGAAGAGCTTTCTAGATACTGGCGATTGTTCAAATTCTCTCTAAACATGCTTTATGGTTTGGTGGAGGGTTGGGGGGGGATTGATTGGGCTGATTGATTGGTTGGTTACTTATATCCACGCAGACTTCTTGGCCATGTTTGGTCTTGAATAGTACAGAGTCTTCACAGCCAAGAAGAAACGAGCCATCCGAGGTTACACTTCACATGGCATAATGATATAGATATACGTTCCTGTTGTGATTGCAACACAGTATCTAACTGTCAATCTAGAAGAATAGAGAAATGTTGACGGAAATGTTTATTTCGTGTCGAGATCCAAGGGAAATCCCTCTTCTAGACTTTTCACAAGCAAGCATAAACGTGGAGCGTGGGGGGTAGGATTGAGAGGGTCACACACACACACACACAACGCTATTATTCTATATTCATAGTCACCTTGTCTCAAGAGGAAAGTGAGATGTGAATGGTCCAGCTGATGTTGAGTGTAGTGTTAGCCGATGATTGCTTTCCGCGCTTGCCTCAAAATGCAATACTCGTGGTGTTGAAGACGATAATCTATGGAGAGAGTTATTTTGTGACATTCTTCCACAGTCTCCTCTTTCAAGTCAAGCAAAGGCTTCTTTAGGAAGATAAATGTACATGTCTACGTAACAGATTTTATATTATATTGCGAGCACGAATCGGTAATATCCCACCTCCACCATTCTAGTGGTCGGCTCGAGTCGGTTTTGCAGTAGCCGTAGTATCGCCTACAACATTCGAGAAATCCAAAACGACTACGACCTGCCCTGCTTGCCCATCATTAAGTTTGGAAAAAAGTAGAAATAACTCTTTGATATTTTGATATTTTGATATTAATATTTGTTTTTTCTACATCTAGAGCATCCGTTTACTTAACCACCTGCCCAATGAAAGACAGTTCGCACGGTCTTATTACATAAATAACAAAGTCACTCCCTGTGCTCCCCTAAGTATTGGTGCGATAAGAAGTGGGTGTGCTAGTTGAACTTCCAAAAAAAAAACGAGAAGAGCCCCCCCAAGTGGGAAGAAACGATCCATCTTAATTAGTACGGGGTTTCAACGACGACCGAATGAACTTGCCCGTACATTCTACGCGGTCGAGGTCGAGATCGATATTCTTTTGGCCAACACAGAATTGTCAGACAATATACACATTGTTGTCGTCTGTATTTCTTTGATTACTCGAGAGAAAATTTACATTGAAAAGCGATTGCGCCTAGAAAGCCATTAGCCGTGAACCAATTCCCCGTTCCCCAACTTGCTCACTGTCGAAACGGAAGCTCAAGTCCTGCTTGTGAACTTTCCGACCTTTGATTACTACGACACATTTCGCCAAATGGAGTGATATAGGTGATCAGCACAACTCGCACTCTCATCTGATCAGATTCCAATAGTCCGCGCACGGCGCATATACCATCCTCACCAGGACCCCTCAGTTTGCGACCATTTGTTGTACAACCACAACGCATTCGTGCACAAAATTGGCGGAATCTATTGATTGATCATAATCGCAATCATGGACACTTCTGGGGTTTGGGATGCTCAGGATCCTACTTTATCTGTTCCTTCGCAAGATGACTTTCAACAATTTCTTGACCTGAACATGCACAACATGGCCGATACCCTCCAGTTTGACTTCAATTTCAACCAGCAACAATCGCAAAGTCAACAGATGTTACATCAAGATGGGATGAATTCAATGAATACGGGGATGAGTGGCAATCATCAGATGGGGCATGATGGAACGATGCAAGAACATATGCCTTCGATGACTACGGCTTCTACCCATCCGGCCATACTCGGAGCTCCAATCGTACAACCACATGCTTCTACAGAGAGTTTGTCAGACTTGGACGCGCAAATCCAATACCTACAACAGCAGAAGCGTGAGCATCAGCTACGGCAATCACAGGAACAACAGCGGAACTTTTATGCCCAGAGTAGAATTATTCCACCCACACCCAATAGTATAGAAATGCATGGTGTCAATCAACATTTCTATACTCCAGCAGAGCATCCGCCATCTGTATATGAGCCCTATCGTCTGAGGGAGCAAGAGGTTAGTCAAATTGATTATACTTTCGCGTTCTTATTCAATGGTTTCACAATTCAATAAGTATAAGAATGAAATGCTAATAAAACTAATTAGATGGCATTTACTCCGCTCGTGTCACCAGCTGTTACTCCTCTAGAAACTCAATTTAATATCCCTGATTACACTGTCCCCGGAGCTTATTTTAGTCCCTTGAGCTCCCCAGCTTTACACGCCCAAAATGACCATCAAGTTATGTTCGACCATCGTCATTCGGGGTCAAATGATTCCCCAATTGACATGAATGGTGATTCACATTCCGCGCCAGTGAGCTCTATAATTCCGGCTCGGAAGCCTACCCGAAAGTCTGTTGCACCAAAGCCTCGGGTGAACACTCGTGTAGTTCGGCAATCGCCAATTGTCAAGCCAAGTCGGGGAAGGAAAAGCTTAAGTATGAGTGCTCAGGCGCTAGGAGAAATTATTGAGCCATTGAGTTCGCAAATGTCTCATTCTAAAGGAACTGGATCAACGAACTCAGCAGCAAGCACCGACCATTCTGAAAATGGCTCTATATCTCCTGAGCACCTATCGGATATGGCGCCTCCACCGTTACCGAGCTCGGCTGGAAGATCACCCTACGTCGTAGCACAAAAGGACAATGCCAAGAATAAGTGGATTCCCCTTGGATCACCAGCTACGCCAGCTTCGCTGATGAGAATCACAAAATCTCCTACTGCTATTGAGTCGGGACTGGGCCAGGAAATGGAACTTGATGATCCTGTTTTGGACGGGTTCGCGTTGCCAGAAGCTGCCAATACCACTATAAAACCTACATTGTCTCGTATCGATACACAATCCGATGGACAAATGACACCAACTTTGAGCTCAACAGGATCCAAAACTCCTGGATTCAAACCTCTGTCGTCGCCAGTAGTTGCACTTCCTGGAGCAGCATCATCTTCCAGTCAGAGTCCTCAGATAGATGCCATGAATAGTGCAAAGAGTGCCACACGCAAGACGCCACAAATGCTAGCACGAGGTGCTAAGAAGAGGGCAAGCAATTCCGTCCTTGCTTCACCGGCTCTTCTTCCCAAGATATCACCTAGCATCAAACCATTACTCCCTGGTGGTTCATCCATGCACGACGACGCCACTGCTTCCCTTCTACTTGCGTCGAAGTCAAACTACCAAAACATACTTGAGGGAACTCATCTTCCTGGCGTTTCGTATCCTTCGGAACTATCCACTAATTTAACATCGAAACGTACTTCTCATAAACTTGCCGAACAAGGAAGACGAAACCGGATAAATTTAGCACTTACAACATTACACGATATGATACCATCCGAATATTACCCTCGAGGAAAACCCAAAGATGCTACGGGAGACAAGAGTGGAAGTGGTGATGGTGGAGAGAACGAGTCCGCAAGTTCCAAGGGTGGACAGAGTGCAAATAGTAAAGCCGCTACAGTCGAAGTCGCCATTGAATACATCAGTCACTTGGAAAAGGTTTTGGCTGAGGCAAATAAAAGAGCAGAGGAAGCGGAACAGAAACTTGTGGAGAAAGAAAATTTATAATAATGTGTCTGAAGTCGTTGTTTCTTGGTGGCATTTGTTTTATTCTGGGAGGCAAAATTACGGGTTCATGGGTTGTTGAACGGAGTTATTGATACCTGGATACGAAGCTTCTGATTTCACGGCTGAATATGTTCCAGGGCATTTTAGGTGTCGAGGTTGCTTCTGGGAATTACTGGGTCTGGGGGGTACATAAAAGTTTAATTGCGAGACAACAATATTGGGGGAAATCTGCGGGAAAGCTACGTGATATGGGTCTATCACTTAGCGTTTTCTATATGGTGCATTTGATACACATCAACACGATCAGACGCTAGATGACAGTTACCGATGTTATATTCTCGGCTGTGGGGTTGTGGTAATGGGTGGAATGAGTGATGGGTAATTGTAGATATGTATTTAATTTTTATAGAATAAAGGTATTTTCTTGAATACAATTATGATGATGTTTTGCTGCTTTGTTGAAACTTTGAAAAGGGGTTTGGGTATAAGAAGAGACTTGTGGTTTGGTAGGCTGTGGTGTAGGGTTTCATGGTTTCGTTGGATTGGTAGAAATCGAAGATTCGCTACCTTTGGTTTTGAATGAACGGGTACATGTGGATAATTTGCTTGAATGTTTATTTTGCTATATGACATGAGAGTGGTAGCAGCACCTGCTTCGATATCTCTCGAGCATGTATGTATAGACGTATGTATTAACTTAAGATCCACATG